AAAAATACTTGCAGCTGTATTGAATACATTGTAGTGAATACACATGCACGCCACACTTTTCAGATGTTTGTAAAAAATTTTGAAAACCATTTATTATTTTCCTTCCACTTCACAATTATGTGTCACTTTGTGTTGGTCTATCACATAAAATCCCAATAAAATATGTTTACATTTTTGGTTGTAACATGGTAAAATATGGAAAATTTCAAGGGGTATGAATACTTTTTCAAGGCACTGTATGGGGCTGTTCAAGCTTTTAAGTATCATTTGGCATCTTTTCAATTAATTCTGCTTTTTTTATTCTATATGTATACATCCCTTTGCAAAGGACAGTGACTATCTTGATTTATTACCACCTGATAGCTATAGATAAGCCCATGAATAACCTACTTAGGTAATAGGAGATTATTTGTAGCCTAACTGTGTAAAAGGGGTTAGATATATACAGACCATTCATAACGTATTCAGACCCCCCCTTTACTTTTTTAAATTTTGACATGTTGCAGCCTAATACTAAAGCTGTTTAAATTCATTCTTTTTTTTTTTCTCATTAACCCTTAAGCTGCCAGGTCCTGTGCTCCACTTTCAAAAGAAGCTGGCCAGACCATTTTTGCAATTTTTCCATTGCTTTTTTATTGTTACTTTACAGCTTTCAGAGTTTGTAAAAAAGTTTTGTGAAGAGAAAAAAGGTATTTAGCAGTTTATATTTACTAAAATAATTGCATTTCCATGTTCTGTGTACTGTGGGAGACCAGGGTGAATGTAGGGTCCTGGGTTTAGTTACACTTTAAATAAGAGAAGGTTTCAAAAGAGGCTTTCCTGACTAATGAATAATAGTATGTATCTATGGTGTTCGCTCTTCCGCAGGACAATTGCTTTTAAAAGTTTAACATTACTACAATACTTTAGCACTTAAGGCTTCTTCTGAGTACATTTTGGAGATCTTTGTTATACTGCTGTAGGTGCGTCACTTCATATAGTCAATGGAAAGCATACATTAAAGTAGTAACACAGGCAAAACTTTTATTTCCATTTTGGATAGAGTAAGGGAGAGTTATAACCCCTGTCAGATTTTGTTTTCGCCATCTGTGTTCCATTGTGGAGATTTCCATTCATTTCCTTTCCCAAAGACAAACAGGAAGTGAGAGAAAGTCCTTGCAAACTAGGCGAATTCCTCCCCCCCCCCCCCCCCCCAGGTCACCACAACTAAAGTCCCCACTGGAAGATTTTCTTTCTACTAGTTTTCTTTTACTTTCACTTTCAAAGATAATGGTAAACAGGAGAGATAAAGAGGGTGAAGCTCCCTAACGGGGACACCCTCTCCACTCTATCCAAAACTCAAAAAACATTTTGCCTTTAGTTATACTTTAATAGTTCCCCAAAAAACCACCAACAAATTCACTAACAATAATATTGTATAAATGGTAATTTCTGCATATAAAGATACATGGCTATAATCAAAATAGCCTCAATCAAAACCGAAGAGAAAAAAAAAGAAAAAACTAGTGGAAACAGGTGGGCACAATTCTGGTAAATAGGAGGAAGCAATATTTTATAGAAAGGAAGGGAGGCAGCTTGTAATAGCATATGTCTATATAAAAGTATTTCCATCACTGGAAGTGTGCAAGCCCAGTCCACCCAGCTGGATTGCTTCTATTTAAAAGAAATCTATCACAAAGCAAAATACCCACATGATGAAACTCTGGTGGAAGCAGACGTCCCCCTGACTCATACACCACACACTTCTGTCAAAGTGATAGTAAACTTGTTAACCGAGTCTGTGGGCACAATTCACTAAAGCTTATCACATGAGTTAAGTCAGTCACATGACCACATATCACATTCAATACTGAAAATGTCAATTCACTATTGCTAGTATGTGGTATTTACCGAAAATAGCAAAAACACTCGGTAAATACCGCATAAAAAGAGCTTAAAGTCAATTCACAAAAGGAAATAAATAATTAAACGCATGCGGTAAATAAGTAGTGGTCCATGCTTGCGGTATGTACTGTTATCGGTAGTACTGTCATGGGTTGTTAAGGAATGGGGTGGCTGCCGAGTCCCTTACAACCTATGAGTCATCAGTTGTCAGCTGAATGTAAAAAAAAAAAAAAAAAAAGCCGGCATTTAAAATTTTAAAAATTACGTGGGGGTCCCCCCCTTGCATCCATACCAAGCCCTTCGGGTCTGGTATGGATTGAGGGGAACCCCCACGCCGAAATTAAAAGAATAAATGGTGAGGGGGTCCCCCTAAAATCCATACTAGACCCTTATCCGAGCATGCAGCTCGGCAGGTCAGGAAAGGGGGGGGGGGGGGAACAAGCAAATGCCCTCTCCTGAACCATACCAGGCCACATGCCCTCAACTGTTCAAATTCTGACATAAAACTCAAAGTGTGCCATGGTTTGGTGGCGAGTAAATATCACCTGCACCAATTAAAGCGGAACTACATTGCATCTGAGCAGCACAAACTGAAAACGCTATTTAATTCAGCTTTACAATTCAAAGAAAATTCCCCCATCCATCTATGTCTCCATGTTTTAATTTACAAAGAAATCACTTTGAAAAACACCCCCCTAGCATTTCTGGCCATCTTGAGTAAGGGTAGATGATTCATGTAGCATTTACTTCCTGGATTCCATCTGTCCTTAGCTCAGACATGCAGGCAGGAGGGTGTGCTTAGCTGAGAAAATCCCTCCTCCCCTCCTGAAGACTAGTGGGATGTATGACATCATTTGCCTAGGCATGGAAACCAGGAAGTAAATATAATATACTTTCCTATCTATTTACTAATGCTAGCAGCATAAGGATTACAAATAGTCAATGTTGGTTGAGAGGTTAGGTGTATTTTATGTAAGAGTAAGTACAGCTACTTTCCTTGTAGGATAACTTTAGAAAAGGACGATGAAGTGACCCAGTGTTGGCTTCACCCATTGCTGTTGTATATAGTAGAAGGGATTGAGATAGTTAGATCAATCTATCTATGGGTTTTCTACAGGGAGAACACAACAGAAGTGGTTTCCTTTCAGACACACTGTCTGATAAAGGTAAAACTTTAGTCAGAAAATTAAGTCCTGCCAGATCACTTAAGGCTGCGCCTGTTTGCAGGTATAACTATGGAAAACATTACAAATAAGTGTTTATATGGTTTACAATCCAGTGATAAACTGCCTCACCCTGATCTGCACAGTTGCTCTCTATTTTTAGGTATTGTGCCAAATTTGTAGAGGCCAATCTGCTGACAGCCTAAAAATTTACTGCTGCTCAAGAACTTTGGGCTTCAGCAAAATGGCAGCCTCTAGCAAGAAGGAACAGGAACAATGCTTGAAGCAATGTGCAGCACTCAATAATTTTGGTAGCAAAATTATTAATGTGGAAAGCCATGTTCCTTGCTAAAGAATATTATTCTTATCAAGTTGTTATGGGGAAAGTTCCACTTTAAACAGGCCCTTTCACACCGACGGTCCAATCGGGTCCACCTATCAGTTTTTCAGGCTGACCCGATCGGACCATCTATAGACCTCTGACACCCGCCGGAATCCGATCCTGTATGCCAAAAACAGACAGATGGGGATCTGTTACCCGTCCGTCTGGTGGATCAGATCAGATGGCAGTCGGATAGAAACAGACAGGCAGTTCGTTTCCATCCGACCGCCCAGGGGCTGACTGACTATTTGGAAACTCGGGCACTGCCCAAGGGCCTGGGGTCAGTAGGGGGCCCCATGAGATGCCCCTGGTACCTTTTTCATAGGCTTTTTTGAGTTTGGGCAAGGACACAGGGGCCCCATGACTTGTCAGTCCGCCCCTGCGACCGCCCCATAGAGGACCGCGGGCAGTGTCTGTGACCGCTCTCCAGAAGGCGGAGCAGACACAGACCTGTCATACGCCTGCTCAGCGGGGATCAACGGAGAGTTCCCATGCTGAGCAGGCAGATCCGCCGACGGGTCCATCCCATCTAAAAGGGGCTGTAAAGCTAAGAGGAAGAATTCTCTACTCTCACTTGTTTGTAAATGTCACCCTTAACCATAAACAGGCTTGCTGAATAATTTAATACAATATGTACAAAGGGAATATACCAGTTTAATCCTTAAGAAAAAAAAAAGAAGATATTGTTATAAAGTTCTGCCCTGACCATATTATCCATCTCAATACCAGACATTTCACCCCCTTCCTGCCCAGGCCAATTTTCAGCTTTCAGCCCTGTCACACTTTGAATGACAATTACACAGTCAAGCAACACAAGCAAGCTGCTTGCTCTGGGGGCACTCGGAGACCTGAGAAGAGGAAGATTGGAGCTGCTCTGTACAAAACCACTGCACAGAGCAGGCAAGTATAACATGTTTCTTATTTTTTTTCTCTTTTTAAACAAAGAATCCTTTAGTATCACTTTAAACAGTGTTTAAGCTGCTTGCCAGATTTAGAAAGTTCATGCATTGTAATCAATCTATATGTTTAACATGGTATTTATCCCCTCTAAAAGATCACAATACTTCTCCAGATAATGCCTTCACCTAGCTTTCATTCCAGTAGCACAGTACCATTTCTGTTCAGTCAGTCTTCAGGGTCAGCATCTATTCCTAGACTGAAATAAATCATGTAAATTCTGCTGCATGCGCAGATATTGCACCAGGAGAAAGGGTCTCACTGGGGAAAAGGAGGCTGAGGATATGCTTCATTCTGCCTGCAGCAGACTGATGACATAAGCTTAGCCTAGGAATGTCATGTGATCAAAGCTTGAGCATTACTTTCAGTTGATATAATGCAAAGTTTTAAATCATATTAGAAATGTAACTTATCAAATTACAGAAAGGTCCACTTTAAAAGTACCAATGCTTTGTACATCATTATTGTGATCTACCATATTAAATAAATGGTTAAAACAAATATTCGAACAATGCTCCACAGTAACCATCACAAATGAAATGGTCTTGCACAGACATTTGGGTTCAGCTTTTAACGTTCACTATGATTAATTCATGCTAGAGGGAAGAAGTCACCTTGGGATGCTTAGTAGGTAGTCCAGGGTAACACTCAGCTCATCCATATTTGTCTGGTCTGAACACAGTGGGATTGTCAGAATGAGGCCGCTTCTTCTATCCTTTCCTCCTGGAGAAAGACAAACAATGTTACTAGAACAAAAATCCTTTTAAGATTGATAAATCCTCCAGGGCCAATACAAATCAACAAAAAGACAACACTGGTGTTATTTTAACTAAAACTGAAAAAAAAAATCACATCATGTAAATAATGTTGCAATGAATAAATCAAGGTTAATCTGGCATATGACATATTTAAACATTTATAACATTAGAATGGACAACACAATATTCTATTTGATAAAACAATCTTTTTATTAAAGTCCTTTAAAATCCAATAAAAGTAAAGCGTATAATACAATGACAGGCCTGAACTATAGCAGCCATGTTTGTGAGCTACTTTACTTTCTCAAACCCACCGGTCATATAAAAGTACTAGGCTTTAATCAAAATGAAGAGTAAATATTCTTGTGTTATGACCTAGAGGGGAGCAGCTGACGAAAAGGCACATATTTTAGGTTCTCAATGTGCAAGAATGAATAATTCATACTATTTATTCATGGCTTTTTGTATAATGTTAAAATGTGACTTTTGCTGAAATTAAGCGAAAGAGAAAAAATGTTAAATTGTTAAATCACCGTAACATCCCTTTCTCTGAGTTCATTGATGGACACAGCATCTTCTATTCTCAACCATAGGGTTATATCGCCACTACGGGAGTAGAACACTAGGCAGAAAAAAAGAAACTCGGCACCGCCAATGGGCAGTCAGGCAGTCCAGTTAGTCACAAGCAGTGTCAAGAAAAAAAATAGAGAGGTGGGTGCTTTGTCCGTCAATTAACTCAGAAAGGGATTTTACAGTGAGTAACAAAAAAATCCTGTTTTCTCTTACGTTGATTGATTGACGGACACAGCGTCTTCTATTCTCAACCATAGGGACATCCCAAAGCAGCGCCCAGCAAGTGAGGGGTGGAAGAAAAAAGCAAGGCCAAACAAGTGGATTGCCTATGCAGAGAAGGGGTTTATACCTGCCAGGACTGCCCATAGGCGTTGACGTGTTTCTTTTTTCTGCATAGTGTCCTACTCCTGTAGGTGGCGATATAACCCTATGGTTAAGAATAGAAGATGCTGTGTCTGTCAATGAACGTAAAAGAAAATAATATAACTCTAGCCAATAGTTTTTTTTTTTTTTGCAATACGCACGGAATGGTTGGAAATTCTGACAATTTTTTCCCCCGTCGATGTTGTGTTCCGGGTACTGTCTGTGCTTGCTGTCAAGCCCCACTTGTACACATTCCTATTGGTCCATCACTAGCCAAAAGGAAGGTAAAAGGGCAGGAAAAGGGTGGGCAAGCTTGAGCACTATTAGGAAGTGCACCAGCTTTGCCTGTCAGAACGGCCCAGTATTCAGCCATGACAGGACGGTTTAGAATGCTGCTGGAGAAACCTCTAGGTGCCCCCACACTTAAGTGATAAACTCACGTTTGAACGCTGGAAATAGACAGTAGGTAACGCAGGTTAAAAAATGTCAGTTTTGACACGTTTGCACACTGCGTTTATACGCGTTTGCATTTAGAAGCGTTTTTTTAAAGATATGCACAGGAGAACCTCCCAAATGCCCAGAATGCACTGAAAAGTAGTAAATTATGAACTATTTCAGAGAAATCCAGAGACTAGAAGCAGAGACAGCAGTATGTGTTGAGATTAGCTTAGGTGTGAGTTGCTCATTAATATTTCTTTTTTTTTCCCAAGGGTGGGAAAAGTGACTGGTGGAGTGAGTCATTAAGGTCACCTGGCAGGGGGTCTTCATGAGGAATATGAGGTGTGAATGATCATTAACATATTTTTTGTTTCCAAGGGTGGGAGAGGTCTGAGGTGTGAATTGATCATTAGGATGTGTGACAAGCTTGGTATGAACATCCTGTGTTTAGTGTTTTGTCCATTTGAGTACCTTGAAAACCTTGAATGCATTTTTCATGATGAAAAAAGGCACTGGACAGCATCAGGAAATGGAAGAGTTAAAAAATGTTTCCAAACGGAAACGCTTATAAATGGTTAGCCCCATTTACAAGAGTTTGGCGTTTGCTGATAAAATCTACTGCTGAACGCAAGTTTTCTGCGTTCAAAAAAAAAAAAACGACTGTAAACTCAACTACCTGTAAACGACTGTAAACGCCAAAACGTACATGGACACATAGGAATCCATTAGGGTGAGTTCAGGGGCTGCTGAAAAAGATGCTGAATAGCCCCTAAACGTGAGTTTATCAGCTGCAGTGTACATGAGTCCAAACAGAGGAGAGATGTTCTGTAGTTCACAAAGTGAAAAATGCTAATTGCTAAAAAGTCAGCATAGGCAGACTGCAAAGAAGTTTACAAGCTAACTTGATCTCTGGCAGGATCAACAAATATTTGTTTGCACTTATTGCCTCATTTATACAGGCACACTTATAAGAACACCCATGCAGGTTGCTGTATTTACCCACCCAGGAGGTTTGGGTGGTCTGTGCAGCCAGTCTGTACAAAGCAATGACAAGCGGACAGCTGCATGAGCTTCATGCGCATTCCTGAATGTTCATTCATGCATGACTCTAAATGGAGCCTTCCAGTGTCCTGAGCCTTGCATCAGGAGAAGTGAAAATGCAGAATAAATTTATTAAAGAAGAAAAATAAAATCTTAGGTGATGGTAAACAGAGTATAACCTATATGACTGAAAATCTGTGGCCACCTGACCACCGTCCCACATTTACCTGAACTTATCTTGTACAAAAGCAAATCCCTCTATAGTGTGTACTTGTCTCAATCCAGAGTACTATGTCTGCTGCCTCGTTCCCCCGCTATAAGCACGAGTTACTTCTGGCAAATTTTCCTGCCGCCAAGAGAAAAATGGTGACGGGGAGGGCATAGCCTGTGACTGACAGCCTCAGCTCTATTCCGATGTGCTGTGTGAAGGAGGGGATTTGGGGGGGGGGGGGGGCCTTCAGAGCTCGCCTCAATGATGTAACTTCTGCTCCCTGCCCCTGCTTTTCAGTGCTAAGTATAAATTCTGCACTATGGAATGGATGCAGGGGAAAGACGACTGCATATAAAACAGGTTCAACTTATGTAGGAGGATTTGTTTAATCTCTTTGTATCACCTGAGGCCAGTCACTTCACTCCCTAAAGTGGTTTACAACCACTCTAAGGAGCTGAACCCATATTTGGGGCTACAACAGCCTCCAATCAGGGAAGGCTTTTAACAAGATCTTGGAGTATGTCTGTTTGAATTTGTGCTCATTCAGCAAAATGAGCATTTCTGAGGTTAGGTACTGATGTTGGAAGAGACAACCAGGCTGGGAATTGGCATTCCAATTCAACCCAAAAGGGTTCAATAGGGCTGAGGTTAGGGCTTTGTACAGGCCACTCATATTCACCCACACCAAACTCATCAAGCATGTCTTCATAAAGCCAGTTTTGTGCAGAGGGGCACAGTTAACAGAAGATCTGAAGTGCACTACTGTCTAAAATGTTTTGATGGGGAAGCCTGAAAAGTGCATGGCCAAGTAGAGAAGTGTGTCACTGTTAACTCTGTGCTGAAAACCAACTTAAGCTCTCCTCTCTCTTCCTGGTTGTGGAGGGAACACTGGCGCATTTGGTTGCCACTCCTCACACCGATTACAATTTTTTTCTTTTCAACTTTTTCACTTCTTTCAAAATTTTGACTGAATTTCTGAAATTCAGATTCTGATTAATAGGACTGACTTATTGGATTTTTGGATTCCATGGATTGAGTACTCTGATCTCTTGGTCCTCTGTAATTGTCTCACAATCTGCCCCAGCTTGCTGCTGACTCACGTCCAAATCTTCCCTTGATCACTGGACCTCTTCCCTTGCCCTGCACTGGACCTCTTTGCTTGCACTGCAATGTGAACAACTGGACAATTTAGCTAAAAGTTTTTTTTGGCTTTACTTGAAGGTTTTTAACTAACTCAATTTTTTTTGCACACCCACCCATATCAAAGGACACACCCTGGACCTTTTCATTGCTAATGGCTCTTTTGTCTCTGATTGCTCTTCTTTAAGACTGGCTGACCACCTAGCTATTCTTTTCAATCTGGAAATAGCAGTTTCTAACCTCTCCCTGTCTCAATCTGTTAATTAATCGCAACTCAGCTACTACAGATTGACCCAAATTTGTACATTCTGTTGCCTCCTCTTTATCTGGCATCTCCTCCTCTGGCACCTTTGTTGACAAAAATAGATGCCCTTAATCAGGCACTTTCATCTTCCCTTGACACCTTTACCCTATTAAAACTTGAACTGTCTCATTCTCCCGCCCGGCTCCATGGTATAATTCTCACTTACGTCCAGTGAAGGTAGTCTCATGGAGCCTTGAGCGTAGGTGGCGCCGTTCTGGACGGCCTGTTCACTAACAGTTTTGGAAAGATCATTTGTGTATTTATAAGGGTCAAATTGAGATGCCTAGATCAAACTAGTTCTCCCATGCCAAAGAAAAAAAATCTTAGCAACCCTAGACAACTCTTCTGCATCGATAGATTATTAAAACCTTGCAGTCCCTCCACATTACCAGCCTCAACACAGCTCTGTAACTATTTCTTCCATATCACTTCCTGACCCACCCAGTTTTACTGTTTTTTCTCTCCCTCTTTTCTGTACTAGACTGCATCTCTGATTAAATTGTTCTCTGATATGAAATCTTCCACCTGCATACTTGATCCTATTCCCACCCATTTATTTAAATCCTGTTTTAGTTCTCTATGTCCCATTATTCTCAATATCATAATTGACTCCCTTAGCACCAGTTCTGTACCAACGATCCTTAAAACTTCCGCTATCATCCCGGTACCAAAAACCCAACATGGTTCTGGACAATTTAAACAACATTCAACCCATATCTAACTTACCCTTCCTTCCCAAGATCCTCAGCAAGTTGTGATATCTCAGTAACATAACCACCTGGCTTTAAATAACCAATGTGGTTTTTGGCAACTGCATAGCACAGAAACCGCCTTGGTCAAAGCCACTAACGACCTTCTGTTAGCATCTGATTCTGGCTCACTAACTATTCTTATT